CTCACACATACACACACAGGCCTCAGCATGACAAAGCACAAAACCACATGGTGAGACATGTCATGCTTCAATATTTCACGCATACCCACCACAACATAACCGACAGAGACACACACACAAAGATCTATACACACAGACACACAAACAAATGGCGTTCCAACACATTATTCATCTGGTTGCAGCATGTGTGACATTATGCCTCACTTGTGATGTGTGTGAGACTGCCATTATACACTCTGTGTGTGCCTCGCTGTTTGATATCAGAAACAAACAGTATTTGCAGATTATTCCCAACATTTGTTTTAACCCACAAAGAGAACACAAAGTGGGTGCGCATAAGAGCACAGGAAACCATCCACAAGTTAGTTAAACTTCTCAAAGATGTAAGTAAGTCTGTTGTAATTCTCTGTGATTGATTGACAACATCCTTGACAACTATCCTCTCTTGTCCTGATTCTGTTAACTCCATCCATCTGGTGCTTCAAGTGGACAACAACAAACACTAAGACCTAATTGCAGCCCCAGTTCAAACCAGGTCTGCTGTATTTCTCACCTTCTGTGCTGAGGCCGGGGCTGGAGGTGAAGCTGGCCACATCCACGATCTTCACAGCAAACTGCTGGCCCGTGTCCCTGTTGATGCATCGCCTCACCACGCTGAAAGGACCCCTGCAACACACACACACACACACACACACACACACACACAAGCTGAGTTAGTCACAGACACCTACAGAAAGACACAAAGGCAAATCTGAAACATGATTTCTCAGATTCAAACACTGAACCAAACAACAACGAGAGTAAAGACGCCATATTCCAATATCCCTGCTTAATGTGTACATGTCATTTTAAAAATCCTATTTTAGCACCTTGCACATGAAATTATCCATCTCTTTAGCATTGTTGCTCCTCTTATGGTTCGACTGTATATTATAGATGAGGGAACAATTTTTGTGTTTTTGGTATTTTTTGTTTTTGTCTGTACTCGTAATAAAGGTAACTGAACTGAATAGTTCAACATTCAGCTCGCACTTACCAGAAACACATGTACACATAATCACATCTACACAACACACACACACACCAACCTAGTGCGATGGGCAGACAGTGGCATTTTTGTGAGTACTCTGGATTTACAGTGCGTGGCGAGCTACGCATCGTAGCCTCTGTGCTCGTGCCAGTGGGAATTATAGAGCAGTGGTGTGCAACACAGCTGTAAAAGCTAAAATAGAAGCTTTATTATAGAGACCTGAGCGAGGGAGACCTACCCTACAGGGTTTATTTCTGGGAAAATGAGGTATGGCAGATATTGTAAGGTTGTGTTGCCTGATATAACTGCAATGGGGCAGACATATGGAAGCTATAAAGGCATGTTTTCCTGTTCTGTGTCCAATGGGATGCGAGGAATTCTCAAGATATTCAATCAAAAGGTGCAGAAAGAAGTCGAGTCGTGACATAAACTAGACGTCAGCTCTGCTGAAGGTTTTTCATAATAATTGTGGTTTTTAATAAGAAAATCAGCTCTGTAGCAAAGGAAAACTCATATCAACACATTTCTCTCAATCAGAGTATTTCCAGGAATGACCACACTTTAAACCCCATAGAGAAACTAACACTAGAGATATTAGCAGATGTAATCCCATAAAACCAAATGTAAACATGTTTTGGGATTATGTGAAACAAATGCCACATGATTTTCTTTCTGTTTTTTTCTGAAAACACTCTGGGTAAAGACAAATAAATATAAACAGTGATGCATTGCTTCAGTTTACTTCTTCTTTTAAGTCTTATTATGATTTATCATTTATAGGACTTACATTTCTCTAGCCCCTCTCAACCAGCAGCTGATGCCCTCCAGGAGGCACTATTGGTCCCTGACCACCAAGGCATCCAGTTTTAAACCAGGTTTCCCCCCACTAAAATTAGAACTCTGACAGATGCACCTAAACTTAAAACTTCTGTAAAAATCCTGTAAATATTGTCTCTACGTTCTTGTCCTGTGGTAATGCATGTATGTGGTAGTCGGTGGGCCTCATGAAATCAATTCTAGGTGCACCAAACATTCCTAACCAGCCAAATCTGCTCTTACCCAGGTGTGCTGAATGATGAATCCCACTTGATTTTAAATTGGAGGCGGGTGGCTGCTGTTTGCATAGGCAACGCCCCCTAAACACTATATAAGGCTGTGTGCATACTGCGGCTCATAGCCAAGAATCAGAGTGATGCCACAACAGATGGATCGATCAATAGAATACACTAAAGAATAAAAAAATAAACACAAATAACAAAAGAATTTAAAAAACTCAATACAGAGTTTACGCAAACATAAGATATCTGTAAGCTATTGTTATATTGATGATTTATATGATAAAAAGCAATATCATCTCAGGTTTTTATAGTTTTAATAGGGATCAATGGAGCAACAGTATTTCTTTAGCCCATACATTTAATAATGCAATCACTCTAATAAAACATATAGTCTAATCTGATTATATAATATTCATGACTTTTTTATTTTCCTTATTTTTAAATGTTCCCTCGCACTGGACAAACAATTTATGGACTGTGAAAACGAGATGTTTTTTTCCCTTATCTTGGTAAGAGTGCTCTCTAAAACATTCTCTTACATAAAGAAGAGCAAACATAAGAAAACACTGGTGAATCCCAGAAATCAATGGGTACTATCAAAAGATAAGAACATTTTGTTCATTATATTAGCTTCTCGCCTTGAGGCCCAATGTGTTTTTCTTATGTGATGTTGATATCTACGTCTGATGTCACTGATACTGTTGTATTGATCTTACCTGCCGTGCTGTACCTCAATCTGGTGGTCATTAATAAACAATGGATTGGATTTTCTATAGCACAGACTATGGCAAAGTGCCAGAAGTGTAGTTTCAATTTCTTGGTTGAAGATAAGAAATTGATCAAATAATTGATATCCACTGAGTAAAGCCAGTCATTGTATCGTCTCAGTGATGCAAAAAGCACCAAGAATGAGATAAAGTCAGTAACAAAGTGGCGGGAACAGGCACTAAAAGTCTCCTAGCTCCATGAGACATCAACACACACACACACACACACACACACACCCACACACACACACACACACACACACACAAACACACACACACACACACACACACACACACACACACACACACACACACACACACACACACACACCCCTGCCGTGTTTACAAGCTGTCTCCACATCTCCAAAAGCTGCAAATCCTCAGGGGCGAAACCAATGCTACTGGAGACACACACACACACACCATATAACACCCATTTGGTGAAGCCAAAGTGTGGCCATTAACAGCGTTGTTTTAAACTGAAAATTAGCAAATGTAAAGTTGCCCTGACCATTCGGTGTCAAAACCCACAGTAGAAGCTGGTCCACTTTAAGAGCGTCAGTGCGTGTTCAGAGTATGGGAGCTCCAGCGTGGATTTGCTCTGAAATTGCCTCTCACCATTCTGCTGTAATGATTAACCCGACAAACAAATGCAGGCAGCACAGCGTGCGTGCTCTGGCCCGAGAGGACCGTAAAACACACACTCTTCTCCTTCAGAGTCCCACAGGAGTCCTGCTGATGATCTGACAAGCCTCCGACCGACCTTTGCCCTCCTGGCTTGATTGCTGTAACAGCCTGTGGTTTCCTGTTAGCCCTCAGAGGTTTGGGTGGTGCTTCGTAGTGCATGAAATGAGCTCGTGAATGTCCCCGTGTTCCAACCTCAATACAGAATTCATGTCTGAATGGTGAAGTTTTGGGGGAGTGCTGCTACACAGGGATACAAAATGAAGGCAGCGAGGTAAGGCCATCTGGCAGCTGATCTAAGTGTGTCAATAAAACCCATTACCTCCATTAAGCAATGAGGTGGACTGCGTGAACCTGCATGGATTTTTGATGCGATCAAGCCCCATTTGTAATTTTGGCTGTCGATTCCAGGAGCGGCACGGAGAAATCCATTCCCAACGGGGCTGTTTTTCTACAGGTTGTGTGTCGCAAGTGAAACGGAGGTTGGGGCGCCATTAATTCATAAATTAGAATGGCAATTCCATCTCATCATCTGAATTAAAAAAAAAAATAATGACCATTCAGCCATTGTACAGTAGCTTTATAGAGGCATTATGAAAGAGCAAGTCAGAGTGAGGGAGAGTGAGAGAGTGTGTGTGTGTGTGTGTGTGTGTGTGTGTCCCTCAGTGTGGGGAAGTGGAGAGGCCGCATGCCATACTGACATCACCGCAGCTGTGCTGAGTGGGCTCATACAAAACGCCCACACATGGCTCACATCCGACAGCGGCAGTCATCAAACATTAGTCCAAAGTGGCAATCTTTACAGACTGCTGCTTGGCTCATTTCAACTCTCTGCTCTGTGAATCAAAGACTGGATGTTAGGTGCATCTTTAACATCCACGCTGGCGACGAGCCAGATGTCCTCTCGGGTTCTCTCTCTCCCAAACAGGGACGGGACACATCTGTAGCTGCAGACTCACCATCACCAGCACTGCTCTCCTGAGAGAAACCCATCTTTGCTTAAAGCAGCAGTTTGCTCTTGAGCTGTCGCAAGCAGCTAGCATAATTCACACGCTGGTCTGAACTGGGGTGGGGAAATGTTTGTACAGCTGCGAGATACAGAAACACAATTTGGAGGAGTTTTCTCAGGTAGGCAAACTATTGGGTGCTGTTCCCATGGCGGGTTCTAATCTCGAGCCGAGAAGTGAATGACATCTTATCGGGTCTGTCGTTGTGCACATTATCATCAGTGGCATTCAGTGACGTGAAGGGAAGCTTACGCCGGTGATTTTCTCCACGCCATCGTTTTCGGTATTTTCTGCATTCAGCAAACCTCACGACTGACACGCAACGGCGTAATGGTTAACAACGCACTGAAACCAACAGCGATGTGGAGAAGAAATACAGGTATCCAGTGGCTGCACAGGGGAGGGAAGATAAATGTAGTCTGATCAGTTCATGTGTAAAACAATAAAAACAACGGAGTTAGTGGTGATGCCTATGGACACACAGAGCTGCCAATTCATCTATTCAGAAATGTGTAGAGGCGTGTGCTTCCAAAGAGTAATCGATGACATAAAAAGCGATTTCAGCAGAAGGCTCCTAGGCTAAGTGGCGTTTGCCCTACTGCCCAAACTGAGCTCAAGCACAAAGCTGCTCATTTAACAAGTTCAACAAAGTCCAGTGCTGTTAAGCTGTAGTCTGTAAATCTCTGAGCAACAACAATCCAGAGCGCTTCCTCATGCAAACCAGAGGAACAGCCTTTTGAATATTAGCGGGGAAATTAGTATTCCAGTCGCGAGCTGAAATTTAGAGCAGCGATGCCCTCCGGAGGTTCTGAAGCTCTGGAAGAAAACCCTTTCCCCCACATGAGCCAGCAGAGGATCCAGGTTTGTTTAAAGCAGCCTGTAGAGTCCAACCTAGTGTGAGCTGCTTCAACTTCACACCATCCATTCACAACTATTGATCGGCTGCGTGTGGGCAGCTCAAAAGGAGCCTGTTCTGTACAGCCTGAAAGAAAGGGCTCTAGTGAAGGTTATTTATTGTAATTCAGATGACTGTACTCTATAGGGTAGGCACGGTTTCAAAAATATGTACACCTGGCACATTACAGTAAACATATTTTACTGTTCAAGCCAAAGACAACCTGACAACATTACTTTATAATGACACAAACATTAGTCTCTTCTGACATCTTCCTCTCCACAACAGATGGGAAGATGACACATCCAATAATGTGTCACTTTATTGATCCCAGCAGGAGCGCAGTGTCTTGCTTCAGGACACTTTAGCTGAGTGGAAGACTGCCAAGCTGGGGGCTTGAACCCCGGATACTCCTGCTCAATGACAGTCTCCCCGGTGCCATTTACATAAAGGATATTACAGAGATATCTTTATATGCGGCTGAAATAGCACAAACGCCAACTGTGGCCAAATCACTGCAGAATACAACTCTACACAATGTCAGCAAACAGTCCACATAACAATGCCTCACCAAGCCTGCTGCTGTAGAGGGACTGCCTTAAATATACACGAGTATACAGGTGTGCCTCACTATCAGCTCACAGTGCACAATCATTCCCATGGGTTGGGATTGGTTAAATGTATTAGAGCTACGTCAAGTAAATGATTATTTAAAACACAATCAATACAAATGTTTAGTGATCAATAGGCTCAATGGTCCCTGAATGTGAGGACTTGCAGCTTGTCTCTGTTTGTCTTTACTGTAATGTATTTGAGTTTTGTTGGTTGAACAACAAAGGGAATGTGAGATTGAATGCTGATACTGTACGGACTAAAGGACCCACTGATTACTCAGAGTGTGTGTGCTTTAAATCATTAGTTCTCATTAGCAGCTCTCAAATGTACTGATAAAAATCAAACCAGTTCTCTTCACACTGTATCCTGCAAATTAAATCAGACTTGAAATAAGTTCATAAATATTCTCTTCTTGTCACAAGTTGACACACATCTGACAAATGAACATGTTGAGGACTGCATCAAGCTGAAGGGCTAATATTTCATATTTCCTCAATAACTGTGCCTGATCTAATTTGCTGGTTTACTCAGGCACAGTTACAGATTAAAAAAAGGCCTTCTTGCAGCAAAGCACTCTGTGTAAGATTTGTATGCTCAAGATTGCATCTGTTTGGGGAGAAACTTTCATTAAACCGCTAAAAACTATGAAACAATCACTGAAGATGTAAGATTTAAATGCACTGCAGATTTAAATGTCCAAGCAATTTAATTATCCAACCCAGAATAAGCCAGAGGACTGATCACTTCATTGGTTTGGAGTGAGTTGCACATCCTAATATTCGTGGCTCTAATGAGCACCCCAGGGCTGAAATAAAGAGCACTGTGACTGCGATAGTGCTTCTCAACAACCTAAGTCCTATTCAAACACAATCATTACACACACAAACGGATTCAATTGCTTTAGCGCTTTGCCAACACTTCAACTAGAGCTGAAATCTCACAAACAGGCCTGTGGTTAGTGAATTATATTCACCTCATATCATCATCATCACATATTTACTATGTAAACTACAAACAATGAGCACATAATGAGCAGGGCCTGCACTGAATGTGTGTGTCATCTTTCACCAGAGTTAATCCAGTCGAAGTCCAGCTGACACCTGACCTGTCTGATCTCCTCTACTGAAACAAGGCTAGTGTAACCACGTGAGGGTGAAATGAACATTTACATTCATGATGGGCTGTAGAATCAGACAGTCCATGTGTTTCTTCATAGCAATGCTACACAGACATGTGCAGCTCTCGCTGTTGCCATGCAACTATAAGCCCTGGTGAATCAGGGGTCCGACTTGCTAAAAGTTCAAATATTTTGGACTTTTTGTTCTTTGGCTCGCAGTTCTGAAACCTTGCTAAGCTCTCAGTGAAGCCAGCAACACATAGCACATATTTCCGGCGAATTTAATGAGAAAAAGGCAGCAGTGAAAGGAGAGGGTCCCAGTGGACAATGAGCCGTCTGTGTACATACAGTACCTTAAACACAATATGTTTTATACTACCACAGAGAAAAAAGCTCATCAAGATGACGCCATAAGGGAAACTGTCAATATAAAGTCCATAAATTCATACAAAAAAAAAAACAAACGTCACCCTGAACATGCTCTCTTTACAACCCCAGTTTAGAGAAGATGAGGAGTGGACAGCAACAGCTCTCCGTCCCACCCAGCTCGGCTGCTCGTCTCCGACACAAGCCGATCAGGGACAATAATAGACCACTTCTCTGAGTAACAACAGAAGTCTGAAGGAGGGACCGACTGGATAATAGGGTTTATGTTAAGTTTGAAAGGAGCCGAGGTCAAAGGTCAGCAAGAGATTCATGAGTATACGACAGCACCGAGACCATCCAACACTATGAGACAATCACCGTGGCAATGCTTACGTTACATGGCAGGAAGTAATGGATAAACAAACTACGATGAACTTATTAGGGATTAGTTCCACACTCAATTACAGTACTTTTCAATTGTCCTGATCAGGGACTGTTTTCATGTCGGTTCAAACTACTAACAGACAAGTCTCAGGTTTACTCAGAATAAGTCAGCTGAAAAAAAACAACAACAACTTCAATTTAAGGTGGAAAAACATGAAAAACAAAGTAAGGAAAGCCTGGAGGAAGTCTTCATGGACACTGTAATGCCAATCCATTTAACCAAATGAATGGCCAAATTGTCATCCTGCCTCCAATCCATTTTGTGTGGAAACAAATCTGTCTTTCCCCTTCTGTGCCAAAATGGCCTTGCGTCTGTTACAAATATACTTAGGCTAAACAGCAGGAGCAGGAATAGCCTCGACCCAGAGAGGATAACATGGAATAAGGTCTTTATGATGGTTTCCTGTGGCTGTAATGCATTTCCATTTCAGATTTTAATTAATTAGCGTTCTCAGGTTGCAGCTGTCTGCCATGTTGTCCACTACCTACAGTAGTGCTGACAGTAAAACACGAGGTTAAAAAAACGAAGTGGGAGATGGCGGAGTGCTGCAGTCAGTGTCTGCTGGCATTATTTATATCCATAGCCTCGGGGCCATCCCATTCCCAACTCCACTTGTCTCCATTGATCTGCCTCTGCCTCCCTTCCCCTCCCACCTCGGGGGCTGAGGAAAAATGATCCTCCCCTTCTTCCTGCAACGCATCCCGAGACACCGGGACTCAACCCGCTTGATCCATCAACTGCAGCTTCACAAAAGGACTGGCAGGATAAGAGGGATTTTCTGCTCTTTTCTGGGACATAAATGTGGCATCTCGCTTCTTTGCTGGAGCTTAAGATATGCTCCAGACAATTGTTCGCTTCTGTATTACTCTTCCACTGACCTGCCTGGACTGTGTGACCATGCCCTGCACAACTGCTCAGCACATGGCTGCAGGGAGAACCAAAACTGGTGGAGAGTGCTATATAATTCATCTCTAATTAAGGATAGGTATTTAGAACCGGTACTAAACTTGGTATTTAAGCAAAAAAAAAAGGTAATAAACATCTCGTCTTTGTGTTTGCACCCCATTATAGTGAGTAGTATCAATGAGAGCAGTGATAAGCAGTATCAGTATGGATAACAGTAGACATTATGTATCATAAACTCTGCTGGAGGTAAAGCAGATTCAAACGAGGAACCGCACGAGCCCGGGGATTCAAAGCAATCTTTCTACTTCCCTGTATTTACGACCCGAGTTGATTTGTCAAATTATTAAACCATACGAACGTGGGCATGGTTTGCACTGCTTCCGCGCCAAATCTCACCAGTGGCTCCTCGTGTCGGTTAACGGGACTCCAAGGTAGTGGTCCTGGACCAACCATCAATTAGTAACCAAGGCAACAGGAAGTCTCCGGATAAAGGATGGGGCCTGAGGGTCTGAAGAGAGCAGGCCTCTTTCCCCGAGAACAAACTTAATGGACCCTCAGACCTCCAGTGAGTGGAGCTTGCAGGGGGGAGGGGGCCTCCACTTCAGCAGGAGTTGGAGGAGCCTATCTCTGAGCACACAGAAGGAACACGCCTTCTGGGGCAATTTTACAATTTCCACGGCACCTTCAATCTTTACAGTTGGCGGTTTGAACGTGCCTCTCCTGGTTTGTACGAGGACAAAACCGCCTCATTGTTACATCAAAAGAAACGCGAGGCCTCCTCTGACACCTTCAGAGTGTTTAACCAGCTCGCCAGTCTGCCTACTGTAAAACAGGGGGATTAGGAGAAGGAAAATCCTGTCTGCGGGCACTCGAGATGTGCAGCCAGGTGACTCTTCCACATGTCCTGTGTTTTAAACTCCCAGTCTGTCAGCTAAGAATGAGGATTTAGTTCTTCACCGACCAGCATTAGTGCAGATTTTGTATTACGTTTAAACAAGGCAGGGGAAAACCAAGACCTGCACCACTCCACCTTTACGACCTGTCATCAAAGATACTGTGTGACACTACACTGCAATGTAAATTCAGTCCTGCATGGAGGTCATGATGTCAGGTTACAGCCTGCGACTCTTCATTTATTCGTAAATGACTCGCTTCATCACTGCTTGCTATTGAACGCCATGTAAAGTCAAATGGGGGAGCGTCCTCACCTCACCCACCCAGTGAACTTTCCCCTTGAAAACCCCCACCTATGGGCCTGCACATATGAACAGTAACCCAACCACATTAAACACGTCTCTTGCAGCTGCACTGTGTGTGTGTGTGTGTGTGTGGCAAAGGGAGAGGATGCTGGAAAGCAGCCACAACAGTCAAAGACAAACACACAGGGGAAGAAGGTGGTTAAAGACGGCACTTACTTGCCAATCACCTCGCACAGCTCGTAGACATCCTCGAACAGCACGTCGTCGTCCGCCATGGTCATGCAGGTAAACGAGGATGCTCTCCTCAAGATATCCCACCCACACGGGTTTCGGAGGGATCAATGATAACGTGTTTTCTCGCTGAATGTGGTTTTCCTATCGTGCCAGACAGCGCACTCCTGGTGATTTAAACCCCCCACCCCCCCCTCCTTAATGTCAGTGACGGGAGAAAAAAAAACCAGTGGCCACTCGAGAGTCCAAGTTAGCCGGCTAGCCACATTAGCTGGCGTCCGAGGCTGTGACTCCGCGGCCCCACCTTCACTGGAGCTCCTCTCCCCGGTAGGGTGAGCTAGCTAAACAGTAACCACAGACCAGACCCCGGGGCGTGGAGATTTCCTCGCTCGTTTGCAGAAAAACACCCCTCTTTTGCATGCCTCGGGTTTGAATCTTACTGTTGGGTACTGCCAGATACAGGACTCCCTCGACAGCATCCACGGAGACTCCCCGCACCGACCAAAGAGGCTCCCTTCACCGCAAGCTAACGGGGCTCTGGAAAATGGTTGGCTAGCTGTCGACGGAATAACCGGTTGGCTCTCGCCGTTATTGCGCCGTGCACACCCAGTGTATCACAGATGGCTTATCCCACCGAACACGTAATGTGACCGGGCTGCAGTATGCTTCAGCTTCCCGAGCCCGGACGGGAGACCTTCGGGTGCATGTCGACGACTTAACTCGGTGGCATACGCCGTCTGCGCTCGTTAATATTGGGATTAAAACCGTACTCCACCACAGCAGACCCTCCGTCCACCGTTGCTCCAGTTCCTACGCTGGCTCAGATGCTGGCTGGCTTTGACTGGCTGTTCCTCCGACTTCCAGAAATGCCAGGCTCCTCCCTCTATGGTCCAGGAAACTGGTCCGACTGGAGCCGAAATGGCCCGGGAAAAGCGGGCCCAGATTCGTGCGTTAGAGTCGCGCTAGAGCCAAGATGGCGTGCGGTGGGGGGTCCGATTTAGGTGCAGTTTCCTAATCTCCTCCAACGGTTGCATCCAGTCAGTGTGTCCCGCGCAAGCGTCGACCATCAAAACCCCATCACCTTACGTCAGCCTTTCCCCTTCTTATCTCCATCCTTTTAACATTTAGCAGTTTATCACCCAGTAAATTGTGTCCTCTGACAGTAATAACGTATTTCCCACACATTGAGTGTCAGCTGCGCGATTAAACTGATGTATTTTCCCTCACATAGAATATATAAAGGGAAGATTACAATTTCCAGTGATTCCCAAATTCCCATGGGTCCTTAGGGAGGTTCCTCAGCAGAATGAGGGGACTGTATAAATTTGACGCTGACAGTGGGAGAGTGACACAGGTGATTATGGTATTATAATCCTCAGATACCCACTGGTATTTGTATGATTATCTTCTCTTAAGTCTTTTCTCTTATGGGTTAATGGGTAACATTTTGGCACAAAAAAAAAAGCTCTGGAGAGACGATTAGTGTGTAATAATGTCAGGATTAAGTCGATTTACTTTCACGTAATCTTCCTGCAGGTGCATAAGTTCCTCTGGTGCAGGTGGCAGGTGCAGGGGACGCAGGTGGAATTTTTCTCAGGTGTGGTAAGACCAAGCCCTGACAATGAGATGTGTCGGTGACGCCCCCTGGAGGTGATGAAAGGAAGCATACACCTCCCTCTGCTCCATTTTGGGAGATCCTCTAATGAAGTGCAGTACATTTTAAGACATAATCAGGAGAACTGTAAGAAATCAATGCAGAAAACAGGAATAGGACACTTTATAATGGAGCGATGTTCTAACTTAATCCACTTTTACCCTCTTTGCCGTTAATTATACATGTAATTAACTAAATCTGGTTATATATGTTCAAGTTTTTGTCAGCAGAATTCACAAAATGTACAATTACCATTCAATATTATTTCATAAAGTGGCCAAAAACTGCCAGTTTGTTGGAGGAATCCCACTTTTCCAATACCACTATGTCACTATGTGGCAGTTTTAAGGGGATAATTTCATAAAAACTCTTACCTATTCAATATCCCAGGTTAAAACAAGCTACCACTTTAATGAAATAGTATTGAATGTCGAGGGAAAGTCAGCCAGACCTTAGTGGCCATCCAAAAAAAAAAAGAAAACATTAAAAAAATCTGAGCTGGGAGACAAAGTAAAGAAGTACCTAAAGGCAGTAGAAGTTCTTTGGAGCAGAAAGGTGAACTCAACCATGCAGACGGGGATAAACAAAGACATCTGGTGCCACTAGAGTGCGCTGTACTCTTATGGCCCCCTCTGCAGTTTCCATGGCGCTGCATCCCTTCTGCTCACACATCATCTGCGAGTTTCTCCCATTGGTCGGAGCCCACCAGCAGCTACCGTAGATCCCATTGGCTGTTGATGTGGTCATCATACTGTATGCGAGGCAGTGTATGTGCTATTGAGCAGTCCTCCATTCAGTACACAGGTACTGACAAAACATACCTGTGCATAATATGCACGAGCACATGCACACACAGGTGCAAAGGTGAGGGCAGGTGGGAGGCTGGAACTGGTAAATATGGAGGAAAGGTATGCACACAAAAAAAGAAGAGAAAGAAAAGACAAATGGAAATCACTGCACATGGGGAGAAAAAAAGGAAAGGGCACAGTTTCCATGGTAACAGGGAGGGGAACGGTTTTGGTGGATGCTTGTGAAACTGGCAGCTAGTGAGCCGTGCACACACACACACCAATACAAATACACACGCTTCTTTTTGTCACTAAGGAGGACGTTGCATTGACTTTCCATTCATTCTCCGGTGGCTTACCCAGACCTTAACCATAACCACGAGGCACCTAACCACACTTACCTGAGCCCTAACATAAACCTCATCCTTACCCAACCCAAAACCAAGTCTTAATTCTAAAATATAACGTCTGTCTTGTGGGGATCAGCTGTTCTGCCATAAAACACTTGTCTTTTTGTGTTTATTAACAATAAATCTGCTGATCAATACTATAAATTCACTCATTCTTCGTTGATAATCTGAACTATGTGCAAAATTGCAGCCACGAAGATGCAAAAAGGAAAAACAAGGCTTGGACTGGCAGCTACTCAGGTTGCAATGCGTTTCAAGCTTGACTTTCTCCCTGAAGCATCAAAATCCAACATCCCAAGATGGTGCCTGGGTCACATGGCTTTTATATTCCAAACATTCAACAACGTCTTATTTATTTATTTTTTACGGTAATGTAAATATCAGTAATTGAATTTTTCTTGACTTGGTTTAGAGACAAACATGTGTCAGATAAGATATTGTTGATGATGTATGAAATGCAACAGAACCAATAGTATTTAAATTTATTAAGGTGTCTTGTTGGTTTAATGAACGCTGTATACATTAAAAATAACGATACTTTTATTTAGTAAAACCTTATATTGTCCTGTTTATGATTAACAGTTTAATAGTTGGTTTTATTGTATTATTATTTGTGTTTATCTCTTCCCTTCTCTCTCTCCTCTCGCCGTCTCTTCCCTCTCACTTCCTGTTTGGGTCGCTGTGATTGGCTCATTCTTACCGCGCAGACTCCTGGGAAAGCGCGATGTTCAAATTTGTTTCCGGTTTTGTTCTACTTCGGTCGGTACGCCAGACATGGAGCGACATCACACCAGGTATTACGTTGTTTATTTCCTACTAAAAAGACTATTTTCTGCAGTATATTTGCCTTCGCGACAAGAAAAACGGCATCATTTGGTCAAAAGTGTATTACGGCTCCTCTAGCCCCGATACTAGCCGTCCTCGTCCCTAGGAGGAGAATCTCATGCCGAACAACATTCAATAATCGAGTGTTTTAATGTTGCTTTGCTTTTCTTGAAATTAACCAAAGTGATACAATGATTTACAAGACACTTTACGAGTCGTTTGCTTCCACTGTTTAATTCGGCAAATATTCTATACATAAGAAAGCACTGTACAACGTATAAAACCCCCATTTATAATAGTTTTGTTCTTATGCTCGCAGTGTTCCTCCAAAATAAAAGAAAAACAGAAGTGAATGCAAAGCGAACGTTTTTTTTAATTCAGTTCTATTGACAAAGTGTGGCTTTAGCTAATGTTTAGTTTTAAATTTCACGTTATATTATTTTTAAACATGACAGAGTTTCACATACAGTACCAGGACAGTTGTTTCTTTATATCTGCTAGCTTTGGTTTGTGTATGCTTTGTCTTAAAAAAAAAAAATTATGAAAAAAAAATGTCTTTTGATAATCATATACTCACCCCCTTTGATTGATATATAGTATATATCGGCAGGGTACTTTAAACCAAGTCTTGACCATTTGTACCACAGTTTGGTTCTACAAAGAGCAGTGCAGTGACTGTATTACTGACTGGAACAGCAGCAGAGGAGGCTGATGTGATGATCTGTGTGTGATTTCCAGTGTCACAAGGACTCCCCTCAACAGTGTTGTAGTTCAGAGGAGGAGTAAAAACAAGAGCTACCGGCAGTCGTACCGCAGCTGCTTAGGTGCTGCTTCACGGCTCGCCTTGACTCCAGCGCTGACAGCACGGAGGCTCAACACCAGCAGGAGAGCTCCAAAGTCACACAACATCACCGTAAGTCAACCCAGGCCATTGTCCTCCATGTTTTTACCTGTTTTTATTCCAATTAACACATGCAGTGAGAGACACAGAACGGTCATCTTCTCTATTCTCTCCTGCACCTCTCAAAGGAGAAGGTGAATCCGGAGCAGCTGGCTTTGCTCTTGAAGACGGAGTGGCATCTGTCCTACGTTACCCCCCTCTATCAGTTCAGACACACCCAGCTGAAGAGCTACTCCAGGCAGCTGTCTGCGTTCATTGCGGCAGAGAAGCAGCAAGGGATGGCAGTGGAGGTGGAGGGGCCACACAGCAGCTTCAAGGTCTCCTTCTCTGTGGTGCAGGGGATGGTTGAGGCGGATGATGATGCAGAGACTGTCCTCATACAGGTAAACTTGTGTAAAGGCAGTTGAATTTTTACACCACCACAGACAGCAACAAATAGCTAAAACACATGAAAAGAAAAGGGGTATGTCCACTTTCTATATGGATTTTGTGTCTAGAGTATCTGTGTGAGACTTTCTAACGCTTCCCTTTCCGCCTACAGATCCATTCCAAGCCGTTGTTTGCCAGGCAGGATGAGCCTCCGAGGTCAGTGTGGAGCGGCTGGCTCACCTGCATCAACGGCAACCCCGAGTACCTGCGCTCACTTCCACAGGACTTCACCTGCCTGCCGCTCTTCTGCAGCACTGGGCCCGAGGGTATCACCACCGTGGTCAAATCCTGGTTCCAGCGGACCTTCGACTGCTGCTTCGGCCCCCTGGAAATCAGCCATACGAGCCTACAGTGGCTGGTGGCCTTATGGACTAACTGCCACACCGAGTCCAGCATCCAGCACCTCAAAATGATTTGGACCCTTCCCGTTGCGCCGCCGCTGCAGGTGACCTACACGGTTAACCCGCAGGACGCCTGGGAGCTGTGGAGCAGTGTGAGAAAGGACCAACAGGGGGAGAATAAAGGAAGGGAGGAGGAAGCGGATGATAGTATCGATATTGAGGAAGTGAAGAGGTTCATCCAAGGGCTGAGGAGTCACTTCTACAGACACTTCAGGCTGGATCTGTCAGCGGGGAGCCTGAACCAGGTGTCCACAGCACTGGGCTCAGCCAAGTACAGCGGCAGAATCAAGGTACCGTCCGACAGATAGTGCTGTTCTCACGAGTTTCGTCACAAGATTCACCCAGGAAAATATAACTGCTAATGTTTGCTTTTGTTTCAGATCTCCAACAGCAGATACATGATCACAACCCTGACGCTACTGACAGAATGTGCCCTCCTCAAAATGCCAATCTGAGTGACGGACTAAAGACTTTTTAAAGAAATGCAATATCCCAATAGCAGCCTTCATTTGAAAAAAGACCAGACACGCAGCTTTGTGTGGCAGATTGCTTTTTTTAAACTTTTTTTTTAATAGACCAGGTCAAACATCTCTCCATCATTTCCCTCTAATGTAAATACTATACTGTATATATTCTTGTCCAGCCGTTTATATATTTTTTTGTCATTTATAGTTGTAAATAAAAGTAAAAAAGGAGGCGGTGTTGTGATTCAATGGAAAATAAACTGCACTTATATAGGGCCTTATTGTCTTCTGACAACCCAAAGCGCTGCTGCTCATCAGAAACCCTGTTTTCACACACACACACACACACACAGTTCTGGGTTCAGCATCTTGCCCAAGGAGGAGAAGCTGGGGTTGAACTGCCAACCTTCTGATTAGTTGATGACTGATAAAGACACACAATATTATCGCGATAAAATTTCCATTTTCATGATGATCATGAATATGACTTGAAAAAAGATTTATTTTAAATAAAGGGGGAGCCCAAAGCTTTCCTAATCCCGTCGCCCTGGCTGAGGGCTCGGCTTGCCTGTTGTATCCCCTACAAATGAGTGAAACCGGATGTGTGCAGTATAGACTCCAAAATACAGCACAGGGAGATGAGGGTCCTATCTGTGACGCAATAAATATGTTTAACAAAAGGTAAGGTAGAGTGATTCCAGTATGTTTTAGTGCCATTTAAATAGTATGAAATATATTTTCAGGATTATTTTGAAGTTATTGTCCCAGATAACCTTTGCACGCATTTAGGGCTCAAATGAATGATTATTTTTATGATCAATTGACTGTTCTGTCAAATGACTGCAAATAAATACGTCTTCAAATTGCTTTGTCTGAAAATCAAATGTTATTCAGTTAATTTTGCTTACTAAAGTAAAGATTTTCTGCAATTCAACACCAGTTAATTGACTAGATGTTGCAGTTATTTATTATATATTATAATTAATTCAATTACTGTTGAAATGGCCAGATGGTGCAACCCTCCCCTAGCACCAACTGCATAGAGTAGAAATACATAACTTACAGAGGTAGCTTGAGGTTTTCCCACTCTCTCACCCAAGAAAAAACACTTTTTTTTTTACTGTTATTCAAAACAAAATCAGGCAACTTTATTTTAAAACAGACACCCAGCCAAATTCATACAGCTCAGGTAACAAAATAACATTAAATAGAAACAATGATGGAATATGAGAATACAAAACGCCAGTTGTAACAAGCTCTTCAAAGAAAACTAAAAAAACAAAGTACATCAGAAACATTACAGTATATTGCACTGGAAGAAAAAAGGCAAATCAAAGCAACTTGTGATCAACTTAAGTGGACTCCTGTGTGTATATGTCCTATCTACATAATTAAAGCGAGGGCAGCGTCGCCGTTGTGTTATTGCTACACTGACACCACTAAATGCACAATGACAATAGCGAGGGCGTAGGAGTCACAATCGCTGCTCCATTATGCTCTTTTAATGACGGGACCGGTGTCTCTTTTGGTGTCTAGCTGGTGGATGGTGGTAATTAGGGTGCAGCAGATGCTCATCCGGTCATTAAAGGACATTGTGGAGCTAGAGGATTATGGGAATAAAAGGATCTGTGTTTAATATTCTTGGTTGTCATTTTGTGAAGTAGACAAAATGTAGTTGCAATTTATGCTCATGATATGTGTTGTATATTAATAACTCCTGCTCAGAGTGGGAAACTAACTTTGTTTAACCCCCCCAGACAGTGTGACAAACTTTTTTTTTTTTTTTAAAAACTGTTTGCTTACATGCTTAGATGGCACATAAACTCGCCAAACTTCACAGCTACATAAAAAAATACCTCCGAGCAGTAGACTGGGGGATGGTGTTAACTTCCCACTCTGCTGCCTTCCAATGTCGTTTATATAATATACAGCTCGGAAAAAGGGGGTTGGCTATATACTCACAATGGCGCCCACACATGCCGATTTTTAACAATCTGAGATCAGCATCCGCCTGGCAAATACATGAGGGGACGGACAATCTAGACTCAGATCGGTGATGGGAAAAAAAAAGCAATGAGGAATCTGTGCTAGTTTGTGGCAGCTTGACATATTCAGCAGTCTGGCAAAGATCCATTAAGGGTCCCCACAGAAGACAGTCTTCACAGTATAATAATCCAAGCACCCAAATTCCCGACTGAGCCACCACACACACTTGCTTTAGAATGTGCACTCAGTCCTCCCAAAAAGTAATTCATTAGCTAGGATTGATTTAAAACATGAGGGCGTAGTTACAGTTAATACCGCTGTCACAACAGATCATGCTTTTAATGTTTTAACATAAACCCCCATTCCACCACCCGTTCAGTTCGGTAAAAGGGGGAATCAACGCACGCATGGGGCTGAGAGGTAAACAAATGGAGAGGAGAGTGACCTATGTAGTGATGTGATTCACAGTAAGCGGAGGCCGCGGGCGTGTGCGGCAGCTTTTAAGAGGCCAAACCCAGAAAGAAGCCGCCGACGAAGCCGCTGGACAAGACGATGTTCCTTTTTATAAAGTCTGTGGCCTGCGTAGGACGGGAGAGAAAAGACGGAGAATGAGTCGATACGAGGTATAAAGCAGGTGAGAAAAGTCTGGATTTGAAAATGTAAAATTACTCCTGATGAGTAAATTAAGACCATCACTAAAACATTTATATCCACCGAGAATGGATACGCCACAAAACATGCACGCTGGCACCAAAATGTATTTCTCTACCATCTCTCTCTCAAGCCTGCTGTGTCACAGCTTGTGGGTGTAGTATCGCTGACAGTACACTAGAGGGCACTGCTGGTTTGCAGATAAAGAAATAAACCTCCCCACCGAAACCAGGACATGGAGGAAAAAGACGTGCATTTAGTTCTAATTAATGTCAGAATTGTGTTACAGCACGCGTTAAAATACAATTCTTGGTGGAAATGGTTGATCCAGTTTGACCAAGTTTGTTCATTTGAATAATTACTGTAGGATTAAAAGTAAGCAAAAGCGTGAAAGAAAGAGCAAGCTTGGTTACAGGTACCTTTACCTCCTCAATGAATGTGCTTATTTCAGGGGCTGCTTTGTTTGCTTTCTTCTTCAGGTGCTTCTTCGCTTTGTTCACGTCCTTCTCCACCTTCTTCCAGTCCACCTGCACGTAGCCACTGTGATTGGCAATCTGTGGGGGGGGGTGAACAAAACCTCATATTCAAAACTGATTCAGCGTAGATAATCAGGAGACCTTTAATTACGCTTTATTTTGTACTGAATTTCTGCTTCGCAAGAACAATAGATCTTTTTGGAAATAGTCTGTAATCTAATAAGTAACCTTTTGTTCCACTCTACCGGGCTACTGATTCTTTGTCTGGTCTTATCTGATTTTTTCGGGGCTTTATTGCATTACTGTCTGGCGGTTTATGGAGGTGTTGTAGTGAGACGTTATCTGTGCTTTATTGAGACCATCTAGACCGGTCTGCAAAACAAAAGGGTAAATTTAAAGTTTGTTTTTTTTCTGGGCGCAGACATACATCTTTGTTAGACACGTGAAATCTTGGTAAAATAATTAAAACGCGGAGAGATGCAAGTGAAAAAGCATTACCGACAAACAAAATCTATCTGTTTTATGCGTTCTGCCTGTGAATCAGGTTTCTGGTGTGATCTACTTGTCTAAACTGTTACAAGGATGTTTTTCTGACAGACTAAATAACACACTGATAGCACTGCAGCACCCAATAAGCATCCAGATGGCCGGCGTCAACACAATGCCAGTCTTTCTGCAGTGAAGAGGAGACCAGCTGAGCTTCGTGCTGTACAGCCGGCATCTTCAATTGGAGGCACTTAGAGACAATGCAGATGTGGTAAATACCTTTTTACTGAGGGGGCATTAACACAATGTTATGGTACTCTTGCCTGTAAAAGAAGGAACCCTCCTCCAACAGCTGTAGCCGCTATCTTCCCAACTCTCTGGAAGAGGTAACCAGCACACCTGGATGTGTTAAGAGGAGTGTTCATTACACACTTGCACCCGGTCGTGTTTTTTGCTTTGCAGATCTTTTCAAATATTCTTTTGAATATCTGTTGGTACAGACAGATCCTTACCATCCGGTCACCCCTCCCATCATGAGCTGGGTGGCCACGGAATACTTCTCAGCAATCGGGCCGGAGTTGTTCCCGAACACCCTGCTCCACCACTGGTGCCTGCGGGCATATTCTGTCAGGTCCACGACCTCGTAGACCTCATCCTCGCTCTCTGGGTCGTCCTGACCTGCTATGACACAAGCATAAAGAGATCAAGTTTAAAATACTGCGCCACCGGCCTTCCAGAAGAACGGAGAACAAAGGGATGTAACGTTACATGCGCAGTTAATGACACTAAACCTCAGTTGACCTCTCGTCTCCATCCCAAACTCTGATGAGCACACACAAACACTTACATTATGGACATGTTTCAAATGACTCAGTTACTGACAGAGTCATATGTGTGGCTGTTTAAACCCAAAACGTGTTTAAAGTGTCTATTGCGCTGACTTTAAGGGCAGCTCAGCGACCACAGGCTCTAAAGGCTGCCTGTTTATTGACTTGGGAAGCTAATATTAGCTGGCTAGCGCCAAATGGCTACCGGTTCAATACAGTGTTACACCCTGCAGGTTTCCTCTCCGGACTCTTATTAACACCGAGCTCAACACCGCGTCCCAGTTTGATTATCGTCGGAGGAAAAAAAGTAATAAATTCCGATATTAATCCGGCCAATAAAGTCGTATTTCTGACAAACAAAAACCACTAACCTTCCCTGGGCTCCACCGTCGCCATTTTGGAGAAACTGGTTATGTCACCAGGATGTTGACAATACTAAGCCACGCCCACACGATGATGCTTTGCCACGTCAGTTGATCTCTCTTGATTAGGCTCAGCAATTTAGCAACGCTTTTTTTTTTTTTACTAAAAGGCTGCAACTTTTTCTTCGCATTAAAAGGAGGATGTCTCTGAATCAGGACGGGACTTTGGAAAGTGGAGATAGAGGTTATGTTATGTGGAAGGCTCGGAACTGATGATGCATTGCAGTCCTCGTTGAACCAGTCTGTAAGGCGACAACTGAGTGTCAATACACATAATACGAGATTATATCCTACTGTGTGGAAATTAAAACGCTGGCCAGGAGAAACAAAGCTCCCTCACTTTAACGTGCGTGGGTGTCAGACACGCTCAGAGAATGAATATTTCAGAATACGCTTCCAGAATAATCGCGGTATGAAATATGAGAGTTTTTTTTGCAGGGAGAATATGAAAATGTGAGATAAAAGAATGATATAGCAGGGAAGTCATATGGTGGGAAGCGGGCGCTCCCATTGGTTGGAGAGCGGGGAGAGGGCGTGGCTAGAGCGGCGCGTGGGTTCGCTTGGGTGACACAATTATAACAACTTTATCTTCGCGTCCGAAACGCGTTTTTATTGTCAAATACTCACATCTTGGATATTGTATTCAGTTATTCGCACTCAAACAGCGGCGCGATATCACTTTGTGATGAAAAATGTGACGTTTGAGGAGCTACCCGGAGAGCGCTTCTGTCCCCCCGAAAGGATTTACTACATCGAATCGCATCTTTTCATCCTGGAAAAAAAGTTTTTGATCATTTTGTTTTCTTCAGTTTTTCTCTTTTGATTCGGCGGAGCAAACCGTTTGTCCCCGCGTCGCGATTTTCCATGCAATCGTGCGGTGTGTCTGTCGCCGTCGCTGCCTGCGCTGCTGCTCGGAGTCTCGGCTCGGCTTCTTCTGGTGGTGATGAGGGAAAGAAAATGGCGGCGGGAAAAGCTACTGAAACAGATGAGGACTTTCCGACACTGACAGCCCAGGAGAGGGACAGTTTGGTCGGGATCGACAGGTCGGAATAGTAGCCCCGTGCACTCACACAGACGCACAGTCTTTGAAATTTAATTGTTTTCTTTCCCTTTCGTGTCGAAAATGTTTTCCGAGCCGCTCTGCAACTGATTCTGAGCCGCCTATGTTGTCTTCTTGCTTGCAGCTCACTGTTTGGATTTCAGAAGCTTCATGAAGATGGCGCCAGAACGAAGGCCCTGTTGATGAAGGTAGCAAATCTAACTGGATGTATTTCACAACCAAGCAGCCCTCTGACCCACAGGACTCACTCCCAAACCCTCTTAACTACAATGCACGGCGGTGAATTCGCTCTCAAAGTCGCAACCCAGTGAGAAAGCAAGTGGCCCCCTCGCTGAGGAGACCAAGGCCAGCTAGCCGCAGCCCCTCTTTTTTTTTTTTTTAGCCTGTCAGCTAGCTCGCTAGTTAGCACCTCTCATCCGACGAGCAGCGACCCTGCACCTGCGGCTACGATGATTGTTAGCCAAGTAGCCACGGCTCTCTCGGTTTAACCAGCTATCGTTAATGTTTGTGAGGCAGCCGCCCTTTTCTCTGTTAGCTGCACAGCTAACCTTATCCCACACCGCGTATCCTTGTGTAACTTGCATTTGTGCCACAAAACAACACAACGTCGTCACGGTTTTTTTATTTATTTATTTTTTTATTTAAGTGTAGCACATTGATTACTGCACTTTAATGGGGGAAGTTTATGTCGTTGTGAGGTGGTTAGGTGTCTTAACATCTAACCTTAAACACACAAGTATCCTCATCTGGCGGCTATAACGTTGGTGGAAGTAACGTTTTGACGCTGTAGCCTTCAGGGTGCACCAAACACAGCTCACCCGGTTACGTTATTTAGCGAGGTTAGCCAGTGCCCACAGCATTTGCATTGATCTAGCGTCTTCACCACACTCTGCTGTGTTGTTATTGTGACCCTGCATTGCTCCACGGAGCGCAGTTCAGGACGTTTATTCGCTGTGAGCGACTTGACTAACGTTACAAGTAACGCTAATGGCTGGCTGCCTGTCCAAGATGGCGGGACATGGCGGAGTGACACCGATAGCTATATAACCAATTTGATATGAACATCAAGCTGCGATTCGTTTGTGTGCTGCTAAAGTGCACCTCAAGTTTCCTCCCGGGTCTGGGCTCTTTGTAAAGACGTGTTCCTCCTGCCGACCTAGGTGGTGTCAGGGTCCTTTGTTTACAGTTTGCATCGCCCCCCCTGTTTGGCTCTGCATGTGCTCTCGGACTGGAAAGCTGCGTGTTAAAACAGGCACAGTCTACCTGGGCACAACACACTGCTCTATTGTGCCTTTATCTTGGACCGTGGACGGTGTGGAGGAGATGGTGCTGTTGACAGCTCGTGGTTTGGAGGGGCCATCCACGAATCCGCTCGCTAGGTGGTGTGGGATACCTAGGAAGTGTGTCTAGCGTTAGCTGCACAGGAGCAGCAGAAAAGCATTGGTGTGCCATACTTGCTAGAGAATAGGGACAGTGTGCTATTGCCATCAGTGTGTTAGGCTTGAATCAAACCGTTGCAGAGCCAGCACCTAAACATGTGTTTTACTGATGCAGTGCTTTAACATGATTTGTTGTTTTCCGTATGCTTTATTTTGGTAATGTGCTCACCTGCGCTCTGGAAACATCCCACTCCATCACATGAAACACGGTCTGTTTTGTCACGTACCCTGTGGATGTTGGTGTGGTGTCAGTTGTGCATATAATAGGACATTCACTCTTAGTGTACACGGGTATCTTGGTGCCTTTCGTGATGGATTTGTCGCTGATGGTTGTGGTGGTAACGTCTGACATTGATCTTGCTGCATGGTCGGCGGTGGCTGCCAGACTTTTCTTGTTGCAGCCCTGCTCTTGTGCGGCCGGCCTGTACAAAAACACCCACAGGTGCTATGGGCTCTCGCCTCGTGTGTTAGGATATTGCAGCGTGACACATGCATGTGTCAGGAAGCTAGCGAACACGGCTGATATGTCAGGCGAATGGGGAAAAAAAGATCGAGATTTTCCGATCCATTAACCGCCTACAAAACCTTGATGGGAGTACACAAAGCATGTGTCTGTCTTTCTCCATCATTATATCAGTCAAAACATGTCTACATACATACAACACTGAATACCAATCCTTTACGTCTAGTTAATAAAATTGGCAATGCACAGATCTGATATATATAGCAGTATTATTTCAATGTGCACAAGACTTAAATGAATGTTGACAAAAGAAAAAGAGGAGTTATGTCTTGATCCAGCTCCAGGCACCAAGAAAGAACAGGTTTTAAATTGATGAAGAAAAGATAGGGCTGGTATTGAATGTGTAGGATCCATTGCGAGCAGCAGACATGATAGAAAATAGCATAGCTGTAATTCTGATCCTAGACCATCGGATGATTCAGAGCGCAGTATGAGACACTATGGGAATTGCTCATTGCTAGATTTATAGCTTAGGTCAACTATATTAGCATGTCATATGTGATTTCTATTTTCCCCCAGAGGCAAAGCAACCATTAGTTGTTGGTGTCTTTTTAGAAACAAAGCACACTATGGGCTTTACTTGGCTGCAGTAACTTGGCTTTGTGCTTGTGTAAAGACACATTGACTCTTAATCGTTTCCCTGCGCTGTCACCTGAGAATGGCTCGTGAAAACGACTGGCAAAGGAACCAGAATGTGTCCTCGCAAACAATTAACCTCATACGTCTGAGTCCAATGGCAGGTAGTCTGCTGAGAATTATGAAGAACACTCACCCTCGGGGGTTTGTAAGGTTAGATGAGTTTTATGACTCGATTTTGTGCTCGTAGCTTATTAGTTTTGAGTGACTACCCTGTCTGGTACTTTACAATGGCCGCCTCGCTGCACTGTTCCTCTATCTACACGCAGATAAGCGTGGGTTCAACATTTGTGACAGAACTAGGTCACTGTATCACCACCAGTAAGTAGGTGGGAATGATGTAAACTTGGAATTACTAGACTAAAGGTAATCTTCGAACGTGAAGGGCCTAATTTTTATTTTGTACGCGTGACAATATCTGTATTGGGGGTTATTGTCGCGTCATCCGTTTTTAGTGGCACTTCTTGCTACAAGAAAGCCGTTTGGGTTGAGTCCTCGCGATGGGCTGACAGGTGCCACTTTGGGTGAAGTTTGCATGTCTCCTCCAGGTCATGCAAAGGACATGCGTGCCCGGTATCGTATACTGCTCTCGCGTTGCCCTTGACTGGCCGAGCGGTGGCTGACCTCTGCTGCAAAACAGTTCCGAGAGGACAGTTTTTCCCACAGGGATTACTGAAGTATAACTGAAATAATACTAGTCGCGTACAGCCATTTCACATACTGTTTAACTCACCAGCATGCACGCAGCATAGAGAGGCGTGTACCATTGACGCTGACGATGACTTCGGGGCTTGGTTTGTAAGTTGAACAGCGGGCCAGTTGTGAAAACGTCAGTGCATTCCTGTATACCTGTATTGCATTACGTAACAATTCAGCCCCATCAGGGACTGTTGAGTGACGCCTGTGTGTGTGTGTGTGTAAGGTGGGCAATCTAGATATCCTCTATCATGGCTAAAACAACCAACTAGAATGTTTGTCTGTTCTCAGCTCATATTAGGAAGTGTACGTAATTGCTGATAATGGCTTTATCTCATTTATTTTAGTCGGTGTCTGTAAAGGTTAAAAGTTAACCTACATATTCTTTCAGATCTTGCCGCGATGCGTCAGGAGAACAGTGTGACACAGTGATGGCTCGGCAATTATGTCAGTCAGAGAGGAGAAAAAGATTTTTTTCTCACGCCACGGTTGATAATATAATGTTAAATCACGCAGAGCTGGCGGGGAAACACTGTGACGGTGTCGAAGGATGCTCGTCTTTTCTTTGACTGGTGGGAATTTTTAACTGAAACTCGGTAGTTAATGCAGGGTTACCAAATCCAGTTCATCATTTATTTTTAGCTCAGCTGAAAAAATGAACAAGAATTGTACCCTCCCCCCTTCCCCAATTAAATAATCAATATTTCCTCCTGGGTGACATCATTAGACGACTGTAGAATGAATTTTTGAATGCTGCTCAGAGGAGTTCAAGATTCCTTTGGGACTTTCTCTGCAAATCTTTTTATTTTGTGGCAAAAAGTGCACAGGTTGACACAAAATGACCACTTGCAGTTAACTGTCAGTGAGAAAAAAACTGGCATAAACAGCCCTGACTAAAAGTGCTGTGTCAGCACGGCCCTCTTCGACCAGACAGTCATTCAGGCAGAAATAATTCATTTCGATTAGCGTAACCGCGTGACATTGTTGAACATATCAGATTTGGTCCGTTTCATCATAAATACTTCAAATCATTGAATCACATTTTGGCCGTTGAGTATTTCACTGAGGTTGCAGTTTGACCTGTAGGCTTTTAAAGCTTAGGATTATGATGGATTGTGATTTGATGGTTTTCATCGATCGTATGGTCTCCTTCCTCTAATTTGAACATACATTTTCACTGAATATACAAGGGTACTGATGGACCTTTTGCATACATGCTACTGTAGAATGAAGGTTATGCTCCTCGTGCTGTATGTCCTCGAGCATGATGCTGAACCCCAGTTGCTCCCGATGTGTGACTGTGTACAACTGAGTTATCTTCCGTTATCAGTGTATGAATGTGGCATGTAGTGTGTAAGTGCTTTGAGTGGTCGGAAGACTAGAAAGGCGCTATACAAGTACAGTCCATTTACCAATAAATCAGTTAATAAATGAATAGAACGAAGCTTAGAACTACTGAACTGAGATTCATTATAAGTATATTCAAGTATTTCTGCTTAGCTTTGTGTAGAAAGTCAACAGAAATTGTATTAACTCTGATGTGTAAGTGAAATGGTGAATGTTTTGTTAATTTGAAAACTGCTTTATGATCAGTCAGCTTGGGCTGTCTGCGTTTTCTCCTACACGTTTCCAATGTTGGTGGAGATTGTTGATAGGGAAGAAATCATCATTAAGGAAGATGGAGAAAAGTTTTTCGTTAAAAACATTTAAACGCATCTAACAAAACCCACCTCAAGTCACCGGACGTAGGAACGTAAATGCAGCTGTTGGTGGGAGCAGCTCAGTAATGAGCCGGCACACGTATCACAAAGTAAATGAAAGACTGTAAACACTGAAGAATATAATGAAAGCCCGACGCAGCCTGATCACGTGCATAGTTAGTGTTGCTATTGTGGTTTCTAATTATTTGTAAAGGCAAAATTATGATGTGAAAATGTCAACATTGCTCAACCTTGACATAAAACATCCATCTTTCTGTTTTCTTACTCCATCTTTTGCGTAGTTCTATAGTGTATGAACTGAGAATGTGTGCATGTGTATGTGCAGCGGTTGAAGTGACCTTAAATCCTGTGTGATAATGAAGTCTGACAGTGGTGAGTGTTAGAGTGTTACGCTCTGGCTGCTGAGTATAATTTATAAATCTTTCTGTTTTAAGACCTCACCTTTAGCATCGATAATGTGAGAAACGCTTTTTAAAATTTTTTTATTCCTGAGATCTTCGAGACAAAAGTACATTTCCAGAGCGTAAACACATTCAGCTTTTGTCAGTTTGTCCCTCTTTCTTTCACGGTATTCAGATCTGCTGCACGTTGTCTTGGCAAAAGTTTCACTTTACAGTCGGCTGATAACATAATAAATGTATCTGATTATGTAAGCGCTACCCACCAAGGGCAAATAGCAGGTCTTCTGTGTGTTTTGGAGGTTGAATGTGATAAATAGGCCTTAAATTTCAAATAATAAACAGTTATCTCCATCAAATCTGCAAGATATGAGAGGAAATATCATCATTCTTTAAGCAGCCGTGATTTGGTTTTCTGCTGCACGCGGCATGAGTCTGGGTACAGTGAAAGGAGTTGGTTACCTCGCTGAGAAGCTGGAGGTGTGTGGCGGGTTGCTGATCCGCTATCAAAAAAAAAAAAAGCCCCATAATGAGCGTTTTGAAACAATCGCAGTCAGGGCTAATCTCACTGATAAACACTTGCATTTCCTGTGATTACTTCGCGATAAAAGTCAACCTGTGCCTCAACAGTTAAACGGTTTTAATGTGAAGCTGCAGCAGTAGGAAATGTTGGGTTTGCATGAGCAGGCACCCAGTTTGTGATACGAATAGAGAGAGACAAGTGTTCCCAATTTAGTGGCTTTCTCGCTAGATTTAGCAGCTTTTCAGACCATCAGGGAAAATATGGGAACTATATTCCAATAGATTATATTGTAATTCATCCCCCTGGGGTCTCTCCCTCTCCTCTTCAGTCAGTAGGTGTGGCGCATGGGGCACGTTTGACCTCTCTCACATTCTTTCTCTCCTGATCTCTGGATTAGGGTGTTCCTATAGTTTATATGTAAATAGTTACTTTGAGCTTGTAGATATTTAAACAGTTTTACTTCAAATATACAATGTCCCTATAGTGACTTTGTGATTATTTAGCTAAATAATAATGAAATTCAAAGCGTGTGTGTACAAATGTTCATCGCTGTATACCAGTCAGAAACAGGTTTGCATTTGCTCTACAATTTGCTGTGGTGCATTTATTAATTCAGCATTTATGAATAAACAAGAAAACAGTAACTCAACCATTGACTCAAAGAATGATAAATGGATTGCGGACAAGCATCCAGGATGATTAACAATGTTTTATTCAGATATAAGAACAGGGAACAGCAAGCAGAACTTCCCTGGTGGAGCAGAGTAAGTCAATGAAGTGATGCAAGTTGCTGAAACAAAGTTATTTAACTCTATTTATTATGTAGAATGAAACAAAAAGTACAGTCAGGGGCAGGTGAAAGTAGAATTTGGGACAAAAAGGGGGACATGTTCATTTCGAGCCTTTGTTTCACTGATTTCAAGGGGAAATCCGACTGAACCTGGCAGACATTGAGAATAACTACATAGAAATAGTCCTCTCGCTCTTCTCCTGTTTGTTTATGTTGGTCACATAGAGGCATCGCTATTAAATTGAGACTTTGAAAACCAGTTGAAAACCCGTTGCAGTGTACAAGACAAAAGAAATTCCTGCAGATGCTGTAACTTCCCTTTTTAAACAGGTGCAATTGGTCAACTTAACTTTGCATGCCTGCGCCACAGCCCGGTGAGTGCGCTAGGATTGACAGAAAATGTGGTTGTGTGGGTGTGGGTGAAAAATCACTGCATAACATATAAGCTGGGAATACTCCACACATTTAATGAACACTAATATGGCCCTTTAACCCCTTTGATAGTGCAGTGTGCAGGCAGCAGCTACTTTTGTATCTCTTTTTATCAGGACAGGAAGATTTGTAATGGAAGTCCAGAAGAGAGAAGCCTTAAGCAGACGTCCTTATCTACAGCAAACTTCATTCCAGTAAGTTAGTATAGGGCTGATATTTATCTGCGCAAAAGAATGCGAATCGACTTGGCCAGAATCAGGGAGCTGACGTAAGCCATGCTGTGACTTTCAAAAGTTCTGTGTGACTTTACTCTCTGTGATTGTCTCTCTCTCTTGCCCCCCCCCCATGTCTCTGCCCCTTGCATAACACAGCAATGCACCAATTAGTATTTTTGTGTTCTCCCCCCAGGCTGTCCGCTGCTACGATTCGCTCATCCTTAAGGCCGAGGGCAAAGTGGAGCCCGAGTTGTTCTGCCAGCTAGGCCACTTCAACCTCCTCTTGGAGGATTACCCGAAAGGTGAGTAACCTCTCCTCCTCCCAAGCCCTCAAGTGCTTTTGTGGAATCCTCACTTTCCTCACGTCTTTTGTTCGCCGACCACAGCGAACTGCAGAAATGAATTGCGACTGGCTCCTTTCCAGCTCGACACAAATGCTGACTGCTCAGGTTCTTTGCCTCAATGGTATTGCAGTGAAAGATAAACTCTCCTCTCCTTTTAATTACAGCATTATCGGCATACCAGAGGTACTACAGTTTACAGTCAGACTACTGGAAGGTGAGGCATGCAAACACACACACACACGTGCCTACATGCTCACTTTCTCTCATGGCCTGTCATTTACACACACACACACACACACACTCTGTCTTGCTTTCTTTCCCACGCGTTCACTCACTATTACACAGGATGCACGTATGACCTCAGTTCGGTTAGATAGCAGGTGTGAGATGCGGTTTCAGGTTTCGAGTCACTTTGTGATTTTTTTCACGTAACGTTGAACCTTTGCGGTGAGACTGGTTTCTAGTTATTGGTGTTACTGATTACTGAACTGTGGCTGCAGGGTTATGTAAATATGTAAGGCTTTTGTTTACCAGGGCTCATTCAGTGTCAGAGATATTTGATTACACTGCTAGCTGGGTTGATTCAGTTAGTTTTGTCTGTTCTGTTGTTGTTGTTTTTTTTTTTATTTCAACTATTTGTTGTAATGACCTTTCACCTCTCCATCCCACCCAGAATGCTGCCTTTCTGTATGGCCTGGGAATGGTCTACTTCCATTATAATGCCTTTCAGTGGTGAGTACCCTCTGTCTTTGTTTCATTTGCCTTAAAACAGAACACACTAATGAGTCGGTTGTAATTAACGATGGAAAATCTTCACAGAAGCACTGCGACAATTTCACAATAGTGTGTGTGTGTGTTTATTTTAAAAACTGCACAGTACAAAAAGGTGGCTCTGGTGTTACATTGTCTTCTCTTTATTGCTGAAAGTTTAATCCCACTCTTAAGCCTGTGCAGTAAATATGTAGCTGGAGTCAGTTAATGCTCAACCTAGCTTAGCTTAGCATACAGACTGGAAACAGTTAGCATTTCTAAAGGTAACAAAAGCAAACCCACCAGCACCTTTTAAAGCTCACTTTAATCGGTGTAAAAAAATTTAAAAAAAAACAGCAAGAAAACAACAATTAGCTTGTATTTTGGGGGACGTGGTTGGGTTACGGGCCTGACTATGTCTTGGCTGGGAGCAGTGACTTCCTCTAGTCGACGCTGATTGATCAGGGTGTCCGCAGGGTGAAAGTACTGAGGCTGAGTCCTTGCTGCAGTGGCAACCCTCTTTCCTGTCTGTTTTCAAAACTATACAATAAATGCCCCCCAAAAAGTCATCCAACAATCTGAATTATGTATACACACATTAATTCTGACAGGTCTTAAAACTTGATTAGATGAATTAAGTTAACGTTGCTTGTATAAAGTTGCATTTTTCAGTCTTACTTTTATTTTGTATTGATCATGCTACAAAACAAAACTGACATGGAACCAATACTGATTTCCCTTCATATCCTGTCAGTACTTTTTTTGCCACTATTATATTCATTATGGACTTATCAAGCCTTAAATTGAACCTGTTGAAACCTGCAGGAACCCTGCGAGAAATAGTCAGGCCCATAACCCCTTGTAAACCCACACCATGTAATATCTCTTTCCTCAAATCACTCATTCTGTTGAGTTTATTGCAAAGGGTACTGCAATCCTGTTTGTAATTCAGCTGAACACACTCTAAACAAGGCGAATAATGAACTCCAGAAGAAAGGCGGCTCCATTCAGCAGAGAAGGATCGTCTGTGAATGCGAGACCAGGAGTACACAGCTCAGTTGTAGTCTGTATATGTTTATCTTGTTTGTTGCTGCCAGCTAAAAAAAAGAAATAAATAAAATGCCAGCGAGTGAAGCTATCCCATGTTGTTTCCATGGTAACCCCACAACCAGAGAGAAATCTGTTCCGACTGAATTACCAAAATGAATCAGCCGGCTTAAACCTCTGGATACATGAACAGCGTCAAGATGCGAGTATCAGCAAACGCAGCTCCGGTTCTCGATGGCTGCAGGAGAACTACAGTCAGTTTTCTAAAGGAACACGCAAATCCAGTGTTTTTTAAAGGCCAAGGGACATCTCGTGTGCCTGTTTCTCACAGCAAGTGCTGCACCTCAACATTTCACCCACCACAGTGAGAGGTACAAGCAAATAAAGCGTGTATCGGTTAACTTTCTGCTGCCGTCTCAGTTGTCAGGCAAGCGCAGGAAAACTAACAAATGTGGTACTTTCTCCGGTTCTGTGGAGGGAACATCTTTAGTATTCAGTTAGCTCACACGCAGCGTGACTTGAATGAGCACGGACTATCCGACCAACAGAGAGTTCTGCGTCTTAGGCTTAGGTGTTCACGAGGGCTGCAGCTATCGAATATTTTGGTAATCGAGTATTCTATCGAATATTCCATCGATTAATCGAGTAATCGGATAAAACATACTTTACTGCTTAATTAAGCCAATTATAATATACAATAGAACAAGACAGATCACCTTAATAATAACAACCAATTTGTTTCCTTTTAAGAAAACTGGCATTTATTATATACATATTAGCAAAGTAGAACCGTTTTCAGTCAAAATTCCAATAAAATAATAAAATACTTCAACTATGTAGCCAGCCCAATCTTGCAATGTACACACACCACCATGTTGTCCCTATTTTTAATTTAAAAATAATCCCACACTTTCGAACTTCTGGTCGTTCTCTTATTATTTCACTTTGCTGCCGTTTATCTTTTCGCTGTTTTCACTGTTTTCGGTCCCGGTGAAGCCTGACACCGCTTCATTCAACCACACTGTAGTAACGCGCCACTTTACATTCTTGTCTGGTTTTAACGCGGCCTTCTCTCCTCCTCATCACCATACTCTGGTTCGTCCCACAGGGCAATCAAAGCATTCCAGGAGGTGCTGTACATTGACCCAGGGTTCTCCCGGGCAAAGGAGATCCACCTACGCCTGGGTCTCATGTTCAAGGTCAACACAGACTATGAGTCAAGCCTAAAGGTAGGTCCACCCCAAACCATTCCAGATTTCTACTGGCTCTCTCAATACCAGGCTGCGCTGTCATCTGCTGTGGAAATTGACTGTGGAGTTTGTGTGCTCTCTCACAGCATTTTCAGCTGGCTTTGATTGACTCCAACCCCTGCACTTTGTCCAAAGCTGAAAGTAAGCACCCTCCTTTCTTTATTCTCACATTTTAATGTATGTATTTAATCATTAAAAAAAGATTATTGAAGGGATTTGTTAATTACATGCTTTCTGGATTGGTGTCTGCAATTTACATTTTTTAATAATAGATAATAGAAGCATTAATAAAAAATGAAATGTCTGTAAAGCAGTTTGTAAGGATGCCCTACAGACGCTTACTTATCATTGAAAAAATATGCAGCGTGACATTGTTGGACATTTTTTTTTTATAGAGAGTTTTAGTTCTAATGTATTTTTCCCTTTTCTATATGCATTACATTAATTTCTGTAGACTGCCCCACATTTGATCCTGGTCTGCATCTTCGAGCCTTCCGTACAGTGTTAGATTATGTTCAGCGGCTGGGGTTCAGTCTGGGTAGAGTACTGGTATTATTTGATATGCCGCTGCCATCTCATCTCTCCCGCCCCGGTACCTGTTACCTTGGCGACAGCAATATCCATTTTTGCCCAGCGCCTCGCTGTTTGCCTTTCCCTCATTGTGTCCCCCCTCATTCCTGTTCTCACTCACTCACTCACACACACACACATAGCAAGGGCAGCCCCCGTCTTTCTTCCCCTCTCTCTCTATCTCTATCTCTCTCTCTCTGTCTCTCCCTCCCTCCTCTCTCTCTCTC